CCTCCATTCCTTGGTCACCACGGTCCCCCGACTGCACTCCGCTTGACTTCTTTTTCTGGGGATATGTTAAGACGAAGCTCTATAGATTCAAGCGAATCCAAAATATTGAGCAATTAAAAGAGCATATTTTGGAGATCTCGAGAAACATAAGCCCAGAAGTATTATGAAAAGTAACGCAAGAGGAAGTACGAATGAGATTGCGAATCTGCATTCAAGCCAATGGAGGGCTGTTTGAATATCTGATGAGATAAAAGACAAGTTTCCTTATTCAAGAATTTTTATTTAACATTTTGTCTTATCATTATTATTATAAGTACAATTTGTCAATATAATTGTAACAAATTATTATAATATTATTAAATATTTTTCTAGACAAAAATGAACTGAATTGCACTAATTCTAATCCTTTGTTGAACAAATTAATGTAATTTTAAAATAAAAGATAGAAAATTGTGAATTTTGAAAACATTTTTCGTAGCAAATTCAAATTTCCGGAAATTAAGCGAGTTGAAAAAATTAATTTAAACTGCAAAATATTTCTCTCTAATTAAATCAACTAAATTGCATCAATTATAACCTTCTATTTAACAATGGAAAGCATTTTTGAGACGAGAAAAGGAAAATTGTGAATTTTGAAAACATTTTTAGTAGCAAATTCAAATTTCCGGAAATTAAGCGAGTTGAAAAAATTAATTTAAACTGCCAAATATTTTTCTCTAATAAAATCAACTAAATTGCACCAATTATAAGCTTCTATTTAACAATGGAATGCACTTTTTGAGACAAGAAAAGGAAAATTGTGAATTGTGAAAACATTTTTCGTAGCAAATTCGAATTTCCGGAAATTGATCAAGTTGAAAAAATTAATTTAAACTGCCAAATATTTTTCTCTAATAAAATTAACTAAATTGCACCAATTATAACCTATTTAAAAATGGAAAGCATTTTTGAGACGAGAAAAAGTTAATTGTGAATTTTGAAAAGATTTTTCGTAGCAAATTCAAATTTCCGGAAAATAAGCGAGATGAAAAAATTAATTTAAACTGCCAAATATTTTTCTCCAAATTAAATCAACTAAATTGCACTAATGAAAACCTTCTATTTAACAATGGAATGCACTTTTTGAGACAAGAAAATGAAAATTGTAAATTGTGAAAACATTTTTCGTAGCAAATTCGAATTTCCGGAAATTGATCGAGTTGAAAAAATTAATTTAAACTGCCAAATATTTTTCTCTAATAAAATTAACTAGATCGCACCAATTGTAACCTTTTGTTTAACAAAGAGATTCATTTTTAAGACAAGAAAAGGAAAATTGTGCATTTTGAAAACATTTTTTGGAGCAAATTCAAATTTCCGGAAATTGAGCGAGTTGAAAAAATGAATTAGAACTGCCAAATATTTTTCTCTAATTAAATCAACTAAATTGCACCAATTAAAACCTATTTAAAAATGAAAAGCATTTTTGAGACGAGAAAAGGTTAATTGTGAATTTTGAAAACATTTTTCGTAGCAAATTCAAATTTCCGGAAAATAAGCGAGATGAAAAAATTAATTTAAACTGCCAAATATTTTTCTCCAAATTAAATCAACTAAATTGCACCAGTTAAAACCTTCTATTTAACAATGGAATGCACTTTTTGAGACAAGAAAATGAAAATTGTAAATTGTGAAAACATTTTTCGTAGCAAATTCGAATTTCCGGAAATTGATCGAGTTGAAAAAATTAATTTAAACTGCCAAATATTTTTCTCTAATAAAATTAACTAGATCGCACCAATTGTAACCTTTTGTTTAACAAAGAGATTCATTTTTAAGACGAGAAAAGGAAAATTGTGCATTTTGAAAACATTTTTTGGAGCAAATTCAAATTTCCGGAAATTGAGCGAGTTGAAAAAATGAATTAGAACTGCCAAATATTTTTCTCTAATTAAATCAACTAAATTGCACCAATTATAACCTATTTAAAAATGGAAAGCATTTTTGAGACGAGAAAAGGAAAATTGTGAATTTTGAAAACATTTTTCGTAGCAAATTCAAATTTCCGGAAAATAATCGAGTTGAAAAAATTAATTTAAACTGCCAAATATTTTTCTCCAAATTAAATCAACTAAATTGCACCAATTATAACCTTCTATTTAACAATGGAAAGCACTTTTTGAGACAAGAAAAGGAAAATTGTAAATTGTGAAAACATTTTTCGTAGCAAATTCGAATTTCCGGAAATTGATCGAGTTGAAAAAATTAATTTAAACTGCCAAATATTTTTCTCTAATAATATTAACTAGATCGCATCAATTTTAACCTTCTATTTAACAATGGAAAGCATTTTTGAGACGAGAAAAGAAAAATTGTGAATTTTGAAAACATTTTTCGTAGCAAATTCAAATTTCCGGAAAATAATCGAGTTGAAAAAATTAATTTAAACTGCCAAATATTTTTCTCCAAATTAAATCAACTAAATTGCACCAATTATAACCTTCTATTTAACAATGGAAAGCATTTTTGAGACGAGAAAAGGAAAATTGTGAATTGTGAAAACATTTTTCTTAGCAAATTCGAATTTCCGGAAATTGATCGAGTTGAAAAAATTAATTTAAACTGCTAAATATTTTTCTCTAATAAAATTAACTAAATTGCACCAAATCTAACCTTCTATTCAACAATTGAATCCATTTTTGAGACTAGAAAAGGAAAATTGTGCATTTTGAAAACATTTTTTATAGCAAATTCAAATTTACGGAAATTAAGCAGGTTGAAAAAATGAATTAGAAATGCCAAATATTTTTCTCTAATAAAATCAACTAAAGGGCATCAATTTTAACCTTCTATTTAACAATGGAAAGCATTTTTGAGACGAGGAAAGGAAAATTGTGAATTTTGAAAACATTTTTCGTAGCAAATTCAAATTTCCTGAAATTAAGCGAGTTGAAGAAATTAATTAGAACTGCCAATTATTGTTCTAAACCAAAATCAACTAGATCGCACTATTTCTAACCTTTTGTTTAACAAAGAAATGCATTTTTGAGACGAGAAATACAAATTTGTCAATTTTAGAAACATTTTTTTGGAAGAAATTTAAATTCCCGGAAAACTTTCAAGTCTAAAATTTTGGATAAAACCCCTAAACAATTTTTTCTACAAAAATAAACTAAACTACAACTATCCTTTTCTATCAACAAACTCTAATCTGCGAATTTCGAAAGGAGAATATTTTCTCAAGATAACCTAATATTCCCCTTTTTTCTCAATCTCAGTTGAGAACTATTGTTTTGTTGTCATTTCCTCTTCTTTTTTATTCCCTTTTTTGAGTCTTCTTTTTATTCTTCCAACGACGTTAAGTGGAATTTATCTTCTTATTTCAATTCTTCTTTGCATATGCGGGAATCTAAAAAATTCAGTTTCCTATTATTTTCATGGAAAAAAATTCGAAATATTGCAATAATTCAAAAATAGAAAAAATTTTTTATATTATTTTGTGTTTATCTGCTTCTGCTTCAGCTTCATCTTTGTTGTTATCAACAGTAGTTAGCGTTGATCATCATCATTTGAAATCTCCCAGCTATCACATGTTTTTGTCATCGTCACCGTCATCGTCGTCTTCATCGTTATCGTCTTTGTCATTATCTCCAGCATTATTAGAATTGGCAGCAACTTTAATAATTGGCAAAATTGGCAGTAACTTAGAACAACTGGAAGCGTCAACTCCTCGATTATGATCACTGATCTGTTCAAAGTTGCTAAAAATAAAACAAAAATTATAATTGTTAAAAATATTTTAGCATTATTGGAAGTAACAGACTTTATTTATTTTCTCCTTATTATCAGCCATTGTTATTTAGTCGTTTTATTGCTTCTTTCCTAAAACAAAAAAAACCCACAAGATAAAGAAAATCAATTTCAATCTCATTTTTTAAATTTTATTATTTAATGATAATAATAATTGTCATTAAATTTTTCACATTTCATTAAAAATATTAAGATATCAAATCCGTTGTATTCAATATTTTTTCAATATCCAAACTTTTTTTTATAATAACATTAATTCTTTTCAAACATTTATTTTCATTCAAAGTATTTTATTTCACTTTCAGACAAATTCCATAATAATATCAAATATCTTTAAATAATACTCACCAATATTCAAAAATTTGATATCTTGTTACATCAAACGTTTTTTTCTATTCCTTTTTGGCATAAATTGCCATAAACAATCACTAAACATAAACATTTATCACTTTTTGGAGTGGGTATCATTTTCACACAAATTTTTTTAAGCTAATTGCATTAAAACTTTTGTAATAATTAATAATTAAATAAGTAGTAAGTAATAAATTAAAATAAATAAACTTCTAAACATAATTGAGACATGACTTCACCAAAATACTAATCTTACAAATTTTATAAATTTAATGAAAAATTTCATCGATCATAAATTTTAAGATTTGAAACTTTCAAAACAAAAGTTTACAATTGAATGTTTTAACGGCACTTTGATAAATTTGGTGTAAACTCATCATTAAAAGATAAAAGAAAAAAAAAGAGGGAATTTAGGGGAAATTTTCAAAATAGGGTTCGTTTAAGGGCCTAAATTTAAAAAAGGGGACTTTTAAAGAAATAGGGAACAGACTGTGAAGCCTGTTATTAACTACATAATTAAATTTGGTAATGAAATTAAAATAACAAATAAGTTATAGAATTTTAAGAATTAAAACCGAATCGATTTAAACATAAGACAAAAATAAAGAATAAACTTAATGAAGCCGAAGCAAATATGTCATAAACATGAAGATATGTCAAAAAATCGTACTCGAAAAATTTTTGTATTACAATACTTTCTCGATGAGAAACTAATATTTGAAAAATCGAATAAGTGAATTTAGTAAAAAAGATTTTAATATGAGATTAAAATTTTCATTAAAATTAAAATCTTTTTTAAAATTACTGTGTAGCCTCGTTGAAATATGTATATCTTAATTGAATTTATTTTAAATACTTACAAATTCAGTGTCCTGCAATATTGGATACTTGTCAAGCAATTCTGAGGAATTTTTTATTTTTTTTAAATCCTTTTGCCTTTCATTTCCAGTTTCAGAAAGAAGTTTCTTTAATTTCACTTTATCGATTTTTGTTTTCCCATATTCCTCGATTAGTAATTGTAAAGTAGCCAACGAGGTCTCGTTAGAATTTTCGTCACAGGTTTCTATTGAAGTTTTGTTTTTAGAACTGCTAGCCTTTCCTCTTTTTTTTCTATTGGTTAAGCACTGCTTCAAACGTATCTCCAGTCTCCTCTGAAATTATAAATATTATGTACATTATAAATCCAAACTTATTTTCACACATTACATAAAACTTTCCATATAAAAAAATCAATGTTGAATATTGAAATTGTAAATAATAACAGTACTGAAAAATTTCATAATGAAAAAGTTTAAAATATTCTTGTATACAAACATGACTTGATAATGAAATTGACGCTCTTAGACCAGGAAATCTGCGAGACCCAACGATCGCAGCTAACAAAATGTATTGTGGATCAGTTTTTCCTGCCTCTTGTAATTTATCAGCAATCAATTTCACTACTTTGCAAAATTTAGCTTTTGGCAATTCCTTTTCCCCGAATAGTTCTGTCATAATATCATCGCAAAATTGTGAGTTAAAGTTATGTGGAATAATGTCCTCCATTTTAACCTGTATTTAAAAAATTTTAATAAATGAAAAAATAATTATTAATTGCACTGATAAATGTGTACGAAACATTTAATTGTTAAATAATTAATCATTATACCAGTTTAATTTTATACTCCTCTGGAAGATTGTCAAACGCATCCTCTGTTGTGTTATTTCCAGAAATGTGATCTATAAATTTTATTTTTTTATAATTGAGAAACTGCAAGCACCTTATTATTATTTTAAGACACAAATTGTACACCAAAATGAATATATATATATATATAATATGAAAATCTGATCTCATTACTTAAACTTTTATATATTATCTCATAACTTTTCTTTGATTATTAATTAGATTGTATTTAACTTCTATTCCGTGGAAGGAAACTTTTATCGACTTTTAAAAATAATTTTATAAAAAAATGAATCTTGACTCTAGCTAACTAATAATTTTAGTCCTGTCACTTGTTCAAGTGTCCTACGCACTTCCAACAAGGTTGTTTTTATATTCGAGGAATAGGGGCCGCTTTATTGAGGAAACTACCTCTTGCCGATTGCAAGTGTAGTTACCGTTCCCTAGAAACTCGACTTTAGCGAGTACAAAAAAAATATCTAAAATTCGCACTTTTCGCAGATTCAGTATCTCTGCATAACAAAATTTATTTCTGAAAAGAAAGATTTCATTAACAACAATTTTATTTAGATAAATAATTGGTGCATCAGCACGAAATTCAATTCATTGTGTATTTGCGTTTTGTATAATTGTATAAGTGTCAAAAAAAATATTTTCTTCTAAAAATAACTATTTCCTACCTTTATAAATTTGTATTCTTTCAATAAAATATAAAAGGGAAATCCCACCGCTGCCACCATTAATGTTATATTTGAATTCGATTGTTTATGATTTAATTATTATTAATTTAAAAGATTTTATAATTTAATCGAATTTGGACTTAACTGTATTAAAAAGAATTTTTAATAGTCTTAAATCAATGAAACACTCAGTATTTTATAGTAAGAAATGGATGTTAAATTTATTTCAAAATAAATACTGTTATTAAAAATTAAGGATCCCCCCTTTAAGTACGTTATTAGTTCAACGTCTCCGATTAGACGGTACTTTTAGTTGAAAGAGAAAAAAAGGAAAAGGTGGCAATAGTAAGGTAGAATTTCAATAAAGACACTGAGTAATATGTGTAATATGATGTTACAAGAGTCTATTTATTCAGTACGTTTAAAAAGATTAATGTTAATCTTATTACAATTGATATTGTCTTACTATTATTACAATGTGCACCCTTTTTAATTTTGAATAATTATGTCTTAAAAGAAAAACATACCCTTTATAAAATTACATTTGATAAAATAAAGTCCAATACTTAGAATTATGACAATAGAAAAATTATAACTTATGAATATACTTCTGTTTTAGACAGAAATTTATATTTAAAGAAATTAACTAATAAGTGTATGTGTGTGTAAATGTGTGAAAGTAATTACAGAATAATTATTAATTAACTCACCAATTATAACTTATTAAAATTTATATCTTTTTTTTTAAAGACAGAAAAGTCTCTTATTTCTATGTCTTCCAGTTACACCTGTAGTAGTATTCACGTATTCACTTTTACTTCTCCTTTTTAATTTATCTCTTATATTCTTTTTTTAATGGTCTTTAAATAAATTCTTTTTTTATTTTTAGAAAAAATCAAAAAATCAAAATTGATTTTAATATTTAAAATTTTGGGGTCACCAAATTTTAAATTTGTAATTAATTCTGAAATCCTTTATTATACGTAGAATGAAAGAAATAAATCTTCAAACCACAAAGAAACGAGGTTCAATATTTTTATTACTTTTCTTTGCTATTAAAATTCTTTTTTTTGTTAATAATCTTTATTAATTTATTCTTTTCTTCGCACAAACTGTTTTCTCAAATATTTTTCACTTTTAATTCTATTTATCTCGAATAACTTCTTTAATATTTCCTTTTATCTTTATATTTTCAAATAAATCACTTTGTTTCAATTATAATCTTCTACAATCAACTTTAAATAATTATTATTTCACTCAATATTATATATTTTCACAATAGTAAACAATTAAATTCAATTAATTCAAATTATATAAAATCAGCCTTTAAACTTGGAGAAATAAAATACAAAAACCTCCGCCTTTTTGCGGGAATAAATCACAAAATATAAAAAAATGGTAACGTCCGCTCTGCGGGAAATACTCATTAAGACTCGTCGATTAATTGGCGTGGACAATCGGTCACACCCTGGTAAATCGACTAAAATCGGTAAAGTGGGAGAATCCGTTGCACACGGCCCACCAAACCTTGCTGTTGCCAAGCAAGCTTTTAGCAAACTTGCAAATTCCTCAAGAATGGCGTGATATAGTTTGATACATTGTGTCCTGTTTCGCCAATATGCCTTCAATTTAGGTATTCTTCACAGTATTATTTAAAAAAAGAAACTCCTTTCTTTAGAGAAATATCTTTTTAATTTAAGGGAGTCGATAAATTACCAAGGGTTGTAGTCGATTTCCATACTTGATAACATTTATTTTGTATTTCCCAATCACCCAATATTTAGGTAAAAACCATTAAAAAAATGTTAAATTTCGAATTTTCTCAAATTCAGATATTATAAATAAAAAATTTGATAAATATAAGTAATCAATTGATGAGAGAATCATATAAAGAATCCTTTTTACCCTTTTTTATGTGTATGTGTTACTTAATTTAAATTAACAAGTTTACCCATTTAATAGATTCTATATAATCTTAAGAATATTAAAAAAATTAAAGTAGTTGCGTTTTGAACGTAACACGATAACTTAGAAAAATTAAAACAACTTTTCTCTACAAAATTTTTTCATAAAAAGTCAAATTTTAGTGTTATAGGCTCTTAAATGGTCAAAAAAACTAAAAAATCCCAAAATAACTCTAAAAATCAAATTATTTTCAAAGAATTAAAAGTAACTTCAACTATTTTTACATAATCTCACCCAAATACACCCAAAAAACATATTTATAGACATAAAACTGTCAATTTCTCGAAAAACCACTATATATATACTATATATATATACTTTCTAATTGAAGCACAATAGGTAACGTCTGGGTAACGGCGCCAGTAACGCTTGCTTTAGTAACGGCTACCTTTCTTTCTTTCTCTAAAGGAAATATAAATAAGAATGTCTCTCTTTACCTAATTTGCATATCTTCTCGTTTCATATTAAGGAGGATTTGAAATTCAATCAGTATGAGTGACATCATTGAAATAAGCCGGGTACCCAAAAACAATTTCAACTATGAGAAAAACACATTATAAAGAAATATTAATTTACTGACGTAACTATAATAAAGTGTTTATGACAAATTTAAGCATTTTTTATTTAAGTGTCTGATAAATTTCATCGTCTTAAGACATTTATCTAAAAACTTTTTTGACGATTCTTTGTAAAAATTATAAGCTCTTCTAATTTACTTGCACCAAAACTAGCATAATGTTTATTTTGTTGGCTAATACCTGCATGAATTCTATAAAAGAAAGCTTTCTCCTTCTTAATAAATGAATTGAACAATCAATAATAAAACATAAATTAGGTATATTTTAAAACTAGAAGACTAGAGACAATCTTATAACCTTTTGGTAGATGAGTGTAAAATGTAGCATAAAATAATAATGAATAATTTATTATAATTTTACTACATAATAAGTAAATTTTTATAGTTATATGAGAATTGTCATTTTTTTGAATTTTTCGAAATTAACAAAATTTAGGTTTATAATATTTTAACAGCTTACTCCTCATATTATATAAAAAAAGTAAACAAAAATTTAAAAAAAAAATTAATAATTGAAAAAATGTATAAATGTGCCAAATATGAATATGAAGAGAAAGTTAAAAAAAATATTATGACTAATATTGGTCTTTGGAAGAAAAAAAGTTTTTAAAACCTTTAATTTAAAAAAAGAATTTAAGATATTTCAGTCTTTGTAAACTTTAGTCCTCTAACAATTACAATAACACAGATAGACAAAATTTTTTGCGAATCTCAGAAACAAGAACCTGACAATAATTTTCTGAAGATTTTTGACGTGGTGCTGAATCCGAATCTGACATCAGAATTACCTTAGAACGTCAGGTTTTTTAAATATTCGTAACTAGAAGTGACAAAAATACGTTTTTCGACATTTTTAATTTACTGTACAATCAACAAAGGTTATTTTTATCTCTAAAACTTAATTGTGGCATTTGAAAGTAATATTCTTTATATTTTAAAGGCCTTTTGTTAAAATTAAACAAATTTTTATTTCTCACTAAGATATGGTAATTTGAAGTTTTTTAATGTGGTAAGTTGGTCAATATTTGTAAAATGACTAAATTCAAAAACTAAATGACTATATATCATTGAAAAATAAATTTTTTTTTTAAACTTTTAAAACGCTTTTTAAATGGGAAAAAGTAGTACTTTAATATGAAGCAAATAAATTTAAAAAAAAATTTTTCTTTCCACACAGTATATGACATTTCATAAATATATTTCCTTAATATTTCACTTAAAGATTGAAATATTTCAGTGCAAAGTTTTTGAAATATTGCTAAAAAAAAGTAAAATGTTCGACTATGTGAAATATTGAAGCGAAAGTTTAAAAATTATTTAATTGAAATATATATTTTGAAAATTTTCAAATAAAATTATGCGGACTAATTAAACTCAATTTTTATAGAATGTAGAGCTGAACAATAGTTTTTAGCTTTCTATAAAATAAAAATTTTAACAAAAAATAAATTATTTATCAAATTTGTTTCAAAACATAATAAAATTTATTTTATACAAATTGTTTCATAATACAATTAAAAAAAAAGTCAAAGTGGCATAATTTTAATTTCATTTTTTAGCATTTATTCTCCTGCTTTCATTAAAATATTGTAAAGAAGATTTTATAATGACTTAATTATAGTGCAATTTAAAAAAACAATTCCAACACGCTTGTTGATATTTCTTTTTTTTTTACCAAATCCTGTATATCGATTATACATGAAAATAATATTAAAATTATTAAAATATTAAAGGCATTTAAAATTAAAGAATATATTATCAGGATGTCTACAAATAATGTTAAAAAAAATTTCCACAACATTTTCAGGTTTTCCATGGCTTATAAAATATT